TTGTCATTATTTTAGATATTATATACATTCTTCAAAACCATCTGTTAAATGACCAAAGCTTTTAAAAAGATGCAACAATCATTTAAAACATTTCCTTAGAAGGCTGAGTGGGGTTCAATGGTGCACCCATCGCTGTTTGCCCCATCATAAAAAGGGGTGTCTAAGATTTAAAAAAAACCCATACAAACTTTGTCACAAAAATCCCTGCAGTAACTTCTCAGTAATATTTACACTGCTTGCTCTGAATACTATACAGGTTACTTTGAAGAAAATAAACACAGGTGCTTTTAAATACAGAGAAACTGCAAGCTACACCGAGCATGCGGTGGCTTAAGTATCCACAAGGTACTGACCCTGAATGCCTAGGGGACTCAGACCCAAGATATGTCCAGGCTGGGACATATCCCATCTACAGGGATGCTCTCATTTTGAGCTACTGGCTCACCTGCTCTGGTAACAGCCTTTTTTTGGTTGGTGGATTTCAGAGAAGGGAGATATTTTCCCTGTATAGAGAAGCAAGAATACTTGAAGCTCATAGTTCTCAAAAAGGCAAGTGAATGAGCAGGGTCTTTTCTATGGCCAACAAAACTTGAGTGCCCTGTGCACATAGAGCTTCTGTCACACCTTCCAGGAGCGAACTTAAGCCAAGTGGTTTCACTCAGCCAGGCCTGAGGGGATTCCCACTGTTTTTACCCATGGAAAGTGCACCCCTGCTGGGAGGGGCCTGTACACATGTCAGAGGAGTACACGTACTGCTCTGAGGGCAGTCTGCAGAGCCACATGCCAAGCGGCTGCAGATGCACACACATCTGACACTGCTGGCTGAACTGTGAGCTATGGCAGCCTTCACCCTGTCTCCTGAAGGCTTGCATGGGTCTAAGATCTGAGCTGACACCATCTAAGTGGTGACAAGGAAAAGCCAGAGGCGAGGAGAGTGCTCTTGTATTGTCAACCTCCAGATATGAGTGTTGGCAGCTGAGTGTTCACTGCTGCAAGAGGTGACTGCAGTGGGTGGTCCAGCAACCTTCTCCTCAGTGGAGCCCAGGAAGACAGAAGGTGGTAAAATGGCGCATGTGCCCTAAGGCTAAGAAGCTGGTGAACAAGGAAGCTCCCAGCAGCTTTCTTCCAAGTCCTTTCAGAGGACATTTACTTATCTCAAATGGGAAAACACAGGGGCAGAGCCCAGCCTGCAGGAAAGGGGAGACAGGATGCTGTTGCTGACGTCAGCATCTCTTAGTGCTCCCACACAGACATATAGGGCAAGTCATATTCTGTTCACAAAGCAAATCCCTGTATGTCACACTGCAGTGACTTAAGGATGCAGGAGTGTTAGGGTGTGAGCTATTCTGAATGCACGAAGTTTCCAGAGAAGTGAAGCTTCTTATTAAAATACCAAACCTTTCTTTAAAATTTAACAACAAATTTCTTTGAAGTATAATATACATTTCCATTTTTTATAAAACTCTGATAATACTTAACTTCTTTTCCCCTTTGTGGTGATAAAGGGGTCATAGGTTTTTTGGTTTTTTTAAAATTATGTATTACAAAGTCTTAAGTTCCAAGCATCTTTGGGACAATGATGAGCAGTCTTCAGGAAGAATCAATGTTGATGGGTTGCATTCTTTTCACTGTAAATGAAAACTGTCGTAAAACTTAGACAAATCAGCAGATGAGTGACTAGGAGAGAGCTGGTTTGCAGTTAGCCATTAAAATAGTCACACGGTCAAAACAGTCACAAAGGAGCAGGGGACAGCAGAGATCCCCCACCCCTAAGTTCGGCTCAGGCCATATTCAAAGCTGAGCAGGCCAAATGGAATTTGCTTGTTTGTGAGGGCGACATGCCTTTAGAGAGCCAGCAGGGACCTGTCTGCAGGGTGGGCAGCCCTGCAACATCCAGCTGCATCCCGGGAGACTGCCAGGTGTTAGTGACACAATGATCGTGTTCCATTCTCAGCCTGTTTCCATGTGGCCAAAAGTTAGGGTTCTAGCCACCTCTGCAGTGAAATGAGCGGTAGGAAATGCATTCTATAAAAATGCACGTACCAGCGATCGGGTTTGCTTCCTGGCCTCATCTGTCAAACTTTTGTGCATGTTCTGAGGTTCACAATTGTGTTTTAAAAAAAACAACAACAAACAAAAACCCGTAATCCTTGTCTGTGTCTGCTCTGCAGCAGCTGGGGCCAGGAAGTGACTAGAGCCCATGCTGCACCTGCTGCTGAACTCAGCAGAATGTGGGCCTTGCTTTCTGTTCTTCTGCCTTTAGATTTGCTGGGTCTGGAGGGAAGACCCTCTGACTTTAGCTTCTACTCAATAAACCCACATGTTCACAACATCGCCTTTTGTTATTCTATGAGGGTCATTGCTTCACCAGCGGAGTGCAGCCCCATACTGATTCCTTAGCGCAGACTTCCAGCTCCCACGGCTACCTCCACCCTGCCCCTGAGGGCTTGCCCGGACTGAATGCTGGTCTCCAGACCTGTATGTTGCTAAGGGAACTTGACCAGCAGAAAGTGATCACTGCATGTTGCAGGCGAACACACAGTGAAATTACGCACATGCTCACAAAAACTGCCAAACGAAGTCAAACTGCTTGGCATTCCCATTAATGTTTGGCACGGCTTTCTTGCAGGTACTGGCATATGACAAATGGATACATTTACAAGAAAATGATTAGGTCAGATGGCCATCCACATGGACATCTCCCTCACCTGCTGCCGCCTGCAGAAGCCCTGAGAAGGATCTTCTCCTACTAGTGCAGAAAGCAGATCCATTTCCACATTTCTGTTCTTTCTCTTGAATTCATGTCACTAAATTCCTTTCCAGAGTATCTGGATGCCTGAAGGGAGCAAATGAAAGGGAAGGCCCAGCCAGGCGGCCACTGGCACCCATGCCAGTGCTGCTGCCTGGTCAATGGCCTCTGTTTCTGGGATGCAGCCAGGTGGCACATGAAGAACATCTTTATTCTCTTTCCTGCCTTGCTCACTTAGGGTGAGCCTACCAGTAAGCAGCCCAGATGTATCCCGACCCAGATGGTGGCTGTCCCTATGTGTGATACTCTACAGAAATGCCAGGACAGGCACAGGGCATCTGGGGGAGGCTGCAGCTGCAGCAGCCTTTGGTTAGAGGAGTCAGAGGGTTCCCTTTTCTCTGCATCTACACTCCGTCTCCTGGTAACACCCCACACTACACTAGCCTTGGGGGAGTGAGTCCTTCTATTTCTGGACTGCATATGGTGAGACTTCACCCAGAGGTCTGCAGTGAGGAAGGAACCTGGATGCTCAGCTCAACTGTTTTCCCCGTCTCTGTCTCTGACCCACAAAATTAGAGTACACTCAACAAGTTTATTTCCTAGGACTCCTGAGGTCCAGCCTCAAGTGATACGTTATGAAGAAAAATGAATAAAATGTTCTTTTGGCCTATGAAGAAACTTGCTTTTATTTAAAGTACTCTGAGGCTGAAGGCAGATGGAGTCTGTCTCCAAGCATCTCCACTCTGGGAGAGCAGAAGGCAGGGAGGTGCCTGCTGAAGAGAGAGAGTGCCCCCGGGGATGGGCACAAAGAAACCACGCTAGGGCAGGGCGGGGGTGGTGAAGAGAACAACATGGAATCACAGTGCCCAGAGACCAGGCAACGACACTCTGGTCAGATCCCACCACGTGCCAAGTCCCTGTCTGCCCTGTAGGATGTGCGTCCTGGCAGTGTCCTAGAGGGGGCAATAAGGCTGTTGGGGGCAGGGGGTCCTGGTGTTCCTTCTGCACATTCCCATTTTGAGCACAACACAGAAAGGTTGCGGTCTATTTTTCAAAGTGCCTGCCAATCTAAATGGGGGTCTGATAAGTAATTTTTAAAAAAAAGAGATGGGAGTCTCGCTGTGTCATCCAGGCTAGAGTACAGTGGTGCAATCACAGCCCACTGCAGCCTCAAATCCTAGGCTCAAGCGATCCTCCTGCCTCAGTCTCCTGAGTAGCTGGGACTACAGGCATACCTGAGACGAGATTTTAAAACAAGTCGACTCTTCTCTTGCTACTAAAAACATGGAGGAATAGTAGCAAAGGAGAGCAAGTGTGGGTTAAGATCCTTAAAAACTTGTGGAAAGGGAAGGCTTGTGCCAGTGGAGAGCCCTGTGTTTTATTCCAGTAAGAAGTAAGTACCCAGGTGTGCATCTTAAAACACCCCCAGGCTCTCTGCCCACGGGGGCAGGGCCAGATTTCTCCCAGATGACCTTGCTCATTAATGTCATCTAGAAACTGAGCAAGATGATTTCTAGATTTCTATCCCCAAAGCATTCATGTACTCACAGAGTCCATCAAACTACCTCAAGCATTAACACAAGGTGGAAGCAGGCTCTTGGCTGGAATCAGTAGGTACAGCGAGATCAGAGGGGCTCTTCTAAGCACTCTCTGCCAGCCCAGCCTGGGGGCTCCTACCTTGGCAGAATTGGCCCTCCAGGCAGGGGTTCCTTTACACTCCTTATCTCAGTGGGATTAATGGTTTTCTTGGAGCCACAATAGAAACTCCAATTTAAGAGGTTTCAAGAAATACTGAAGAATGTTTTGTGGCAGTTAAACAAGTTTGAACTGTTAGAAAAAGCAAAGTTGTTAGTATAGGTTTACGTTAGGCTCTTTTTAAGGAAAATGCTACAAAAGAACTTTTCAGAGCTCAGATTAATCAAATGAGTTAAGACAAGTCTAATGGGCTGTTCTCATTAGATTCCAACATCCTCTGCACTTTCTTCTTGACTTAACACAGGGGTCTCCTCTCAATCTTTTCCAAAGTAATGTGACAGTTTCTTTTCAAAAAGATTAAAAAAAAAAGAAGAAGAAAGAAATGATAACCTTTTCCCCCTCTGAATGATTCCGGGAGGGATTTTTATCTTTTTTTTTTTGCAATCAGAGTCTGAAACCCAGGCTGCAGGTCAACAATCTCAGTAGTTATGAAAAGAGCAGGGTTACTGGAGACCCGAAAGGTAACGAGCGGAGGAAGGAAGGAAAGGGCCGGGGGTTTTGTGCAAGATTTAATAAAAAACAAACAAAAATAGGAATGGTTGCTTTCAACATTTTCCAGGTTGTGAAAGGTTTGCCACGATTATCTGGGGTGTGGTTCTAAGCTGCATCAGTGGAACAAATACAAAATGCTGTCTTCCTCCCAGGCCAAAAGACAGTGCACCTCCTCCTCTAACCATCGGGCTGGCGGGTTGAGTAGTCAGTGCTGTGATCCAGGCCAAACTGGAGCGTCCGCACGGCTGTTTCTCTGACCAACGGGGATTCCATCTACCTCAAGGCATGCTCACCGGGCCCAGTTTCCACACCAGCACTCGGTGAGACAGGGCTAGCTTATCAACAGGCTGCTGAGCCTTAATACTGACAGTGAGTGTGGTGGATTACAGCAAGGAAGGGACGCTAACACAGATGCCTGCTGGGAGGGGACAGCCTCCTCAGCCTCCACTGCTGGACTAAGTTTAGAATACCATGGAAAAAAAGCTTTGATAAAGACAACAGGAAGTTGAAATCAACACGGCAGGAATGGTGTGAACAACCCATAAACCAGTCTCTCATGCATCCATACCCACAGTTAATGATGGACAACAACAACAATAATAATAATAAAAACAAAGGTACAGACAAAAAGCAGCGCTTGGGTTGTGCTGCCGCAAGCTGGGAAAGGTGTGTGTTCAAGCTGAACGGGACACAGCTAGTCTTTCTTCAAGTCCCTGGATTCAAAGAGCTTCAACCGTTCTTGCACCGTCAGACCTTCCTTTAGACTCTGGGGGAGACAGAGCAGGAAGAGAAAAACACACAGACCGTTAGACTCTCTGGAGTAGTGCTGAGCAGAGCAGGCTGCTGGTGGAGCCGGCATCAGTCAGAGAGACAGGTGCAGATGCAGGCGGAGGAGGGGCTCCTGAGATTAGTGGGCATGCTGGGAGGAGAGATGTTCCCTGTGAAATGGTGTTATCGGTGGAGTATGCTTTCCCCTTTGGAAAATCACTTGGACGGGAAAAAAAAAACAAAAAACAGAGAAACAAAACCATGAGTTTAAGCTGTTGAATTCTAGCTTAGGGCTCCTGAGACAAGCAGTGATCAGACTGGTCCAGCCAGTCTGTGCTAAGAGCCAGGAACAAAACTGTGCTAATAGCTAGGAAACTGTCTATGTCTCTTGTCCTGTGTAAGGATCTGTCTGGGTCCTGTGTGATTATTAACCTGAAGGCCTCATCACTGGTAGGATGTGGTGTCCCGGGATGGGTTCCTGCTCCCATGGTGCCTTAGGCAGCACCCTCTGCCTGCAGACCCATCTGGCATTCCCTGCTCAGAAGCCTGTTGGGCTAAGTGTTGTGACCTTAGGAATATGCCAACATACCTACTAAGACCTTCAGAATGTAAAACCAACACTATTCACATGGGATGTTGGTAAAGTTTAATCTGCATGTCCAGAGATGAACGACATTTTACTGAGGACAGAACATCTCCCATTTCATTCTTTCCCCCCAAATTTCATTTCTGCATAAGAAAAGAACAGTATTTCCCAACAAATGAATGGGAATGAAATTCTAGCATCCACTGGAGACTGGCCCTGGCTCCTCAGCCATCTCCCATCTTCACAGTGTCACCAACAGACTCAGCCTTGCCCGGTTCTACGGGCTCAGCTGTGCCAGAGCTGGCAAAGGCAGAGCTCTACCGAGAAATGCAAGACTGAAGGATGACCCCTGGCTCAGGACATGAGGATGTCAGCTTCAGCCCAAACCTGAACAACACAAAATGAAACACTGTGGCCCACAGAGCTGCAATTCCCATCTTTGGTGGAGCCAGGGAACTGAGCACTCACTGGCCAGCCCGATGCTCCTTGACACCTGGGGACCCGGTTTTCTCCAAGGTTCGGGGGGCTCCAGTGTCCCCCACCTGTCCCAGTTTCATCCAGAACAGCCCTGCTGTTCTGTTTTTTACACCATGGAGTTGTGTATAAACATATTAGTAATTATTTGCCTTTTAAATAAAAGGTTTTGCTGTTAAACATTTTAAAACTCACTGGTCTAGATGGACCTCAATTTGAGCAGTTGGCTAAGGCTCTACTTTTGTGTTTGAGGGTTTCTTCCGAAGTTTGCCACAGAGAGTAGGTGAGGGCATGGGAGCAGATCCATCTCCCATTTTGAACTCAGATGTGCCGTGACACCTGCCTCCAGGTGTCCTCAGGGTCCTTGCAGCCTGTCTTGCAAAGGAGGTGAACAGATGTCTGGTCACTACCAAAGGGGCTGGGACCAAGCTAGGCAGGTGATTCTGAACTTAAGTGTGGCTCAGAGGCAGGCCCTTGATGGCTGAGGGGTTGTCACTGTTAATCCCAATTTCTTCTAGCTGGGGACTTTCTATCAGGATCACAGTGAACTGGTCACTTCAGACACCAGTGCTAACAGTGAGCATCCATCCTGGCTTTGCTTTCTGTGGGCACAGCGTCAGAAGTCCCTGAGTGACAGAACCATATTGCAGCAGGCCTCGGGAAGAAGGAATACCTGGACAGCCACAGCACCCAGCACAGCAGCTACCATCTTCTGCACCAGTAACGGCACAAAGTTCGGTCTTGGGTGAAGCTGGGGTCCCTACGGTTCTAGGGGTGAGAAATAAGCAAAACTCCTTATGCTACCCCACATTCCTGGAGGAGGGACATTCTCTCCAAGCCCTCTGGCTTCTCTCTCCTGGGTTGCTACTTAGCCCAAGGACAGAGCTGCACAGGGATTGCTGCCATGCTGGACATTCAGGGTACAGCCAGCTCCCTTTGGGGCTCATCCTCCCCAGGCTGGTCTCTCCACCAAGTGCCTCCTGCAACCCCACACTGAGCTGACCACAGACATAAGAGCCCCTAAGAATCCCCAGGAAAGCATTCTCTGGTCTCAATCTCAGAAAAGGCTGTGCTGCCCTTAAGCACCTCTCTTGCTTTGATCTTGTAGGAGCTGAGACCTACCCTTTTGAGTGAGACAGAATATAAAAACAGAACATAACAAAAGACAGATCAGTGCGATCAGACGCCATATCAAAAAGCACCAACGAGAAGTGCATTTTCTGGGCAGCTTCATTCTCTAGCCTCCTCTTGGGGTTAGGGGAGTCTCCAAATACAGTCTAGGAAAGGAAGACACTCACCCCCATGTGTATGCCTGCCAATGTCTCTTGAGAGGATCAGTTCTGCCAGACCCTGCCCCATTGTGCCACAGTGTCTCTGAGGACGTCTTTGAAGTCCCTGTATTTCTGCTCGGGTCAGCAGGACTGTCCCTGCACACCACGGACTTTCTTATTATAGAAACCCTGCCAAACCAAATGTCAACTCAAAAAACACTTTGAGAAGACCCTGTCCCTGGGTTCCTTGCCACCCTCATCTGAGTCTGCCCTGGCTTTCTTGGATGTGCCAACAGTATTCTTACTCCTGACCCGTGCCCGATGTTTCCCCACTAGCAAGAGAAGCCTCCGCACTTCTCACTGCACAGGCCCTATTGCCAAGAGCCCACGTGTTCGTCTCTAGGTCCTTATAGGGATTTGCACCACGCTGGGGCACATCCTCAAGGACGGCACCATATGGCTTTCCCTGGAAGCATCCCACAGAAGCTCCCTGTTCCCTCCCCTTGACTGTCACTTATATCAGTGATCCAAAGGCCCAAGTCACTAATAGTGAACTTCAAACTCCTCCAAGAACAGCCCAAAGACAACAGCTAGTATGTAGTCTCAAGGATGAAGTAAAATTTTCAATAAGAAAACCACGAACCAGAAAAGAACAAGTTTTTGCCAAACAAAACGTTTTTCACGTTTAAAGAAAAACGCCTAGGCTGTTTTCAATCAAGCCTAAACTATACTTGGGTATAAGTGACTTGGGACCGTAAAAAAACAAAACCAAAACTGACTAGGTTTAAAACACCCGGATTCTCTTACAACTCTTCCTAAGGCACAGCCACTTCACTCAAGCCTCAGACCGAAGTTCCCAGACAGCACAATGCTGTGGGCTGTGGGTCTCATGGAAAGACTAGTGGGTGCATCTGCAATGCACCAGCATGGGGAGGAAGGCCTGCTCCCTGCTGCCCTTAGCCTTGTCATCACCGAATGAATGAGGTCAAGCTGCGGAGACAGTGACCATGCATTCTTGGAGGTCCCAGACCCACTGTCTCCCTTTTGGACAATGCCTTCAATGGCACCCAGTGAAAAGCTTTTGTTTAAAAAAAAAAAAAAAAGTACAAGCCGGGCTCGGTGGCTCAGCCTGTAATCTGGTGCTTTGGGAGGCTGAGGTGAGTGGATAGCCTGAGCCCGCGGGTTCGAGACCTGCCTGGGCAACTTGGCCAGACCTCATCTCTACGATAAATCAAAAAAATTAGCTGGGCATGGCAGCACGCCTATAGTTCCGGCTACTTGGAAGCCTGAGGTGGAAGGATCGCCGGAGTCCGGCAGGTCGAGGCTGCAGTGGCTGGGAGCGGCCACTGCACTCCAGTCTGGGCGACAGTGAGACTTCAACTCAAAAAAAAAAAAAAAAAAAAGGGCTGGTAAACACATTTAAGTGCTTACAGTTATCACACTCTTATGAATCATCATCCTGAGCTCTACCACAGACTTTTATGTTCCACAATGGCCAGTCCTGAGGCCCCAGAGGACAGAGAGGCCAGGAGAGGCCACAAAGAACCTGTGAGGGACCTGCCCATGTGCGGGAGGCTCCCCCACCACCTCAGCCAGAAGGCTGCTCAAGAGGTGGGCGAGGCCTTGGCAAAGGCATACTTGCTTGCCAGTGGCAGTGGTCATTTGTCAACTCCAGCTTAAGACAGATGGCAAGAAGGGTGTCCCAGAGAGGGTGGAGTGAGTTCAGCTTCCGTGCACAGATGATCTGACATGCATGCTGACAGGTGCCTGGCTCTGCGCCTATCCGCCAGGCGGGGGAGCACCCTCTGCCAAGGGTCAACTTTGTCAAGAGGTTAGAGTGCCAATCAACTCCCCAGAGCCAGTTAAAGAAACCTCACTTTGACCTGGTATGTGCTTGCTGGAGCAGGATGAATGAAAACAAAGTAACCGTGACGCAGGCGTTTGCTATGGAGGTGTGAGCGGTGCATGCAGACAGCCACCCCTCGAGTGGGCAGGCGGGCAGGAGAGGTGGTTTACCTACATGACAGGGACCTGGAAGCAGGCGCGTTTCAGTTATCCCATGAGACCTGCTCAATTACGGACTGTCAGAGGAGAGAGCAAAAATGAGACACACACACACACAATCAATCCTAAACACAACGTGTTGGCCAGTTCCCACCCTCCACCCATCCTTCCTGCAGAGAAGGACACCCAGCTCTGAGAAGCACACCGGAGTCTGCTACTTCCTGGCTGGGGGGGGGGAAGGAGAGCAGGTGGCTTGTTTCTGGAATGCAGGCGGCGTCAGCATTATGACAGTGACGTGCAAGGGACAACACAGACACAGCAGGTTGACAGGACAGGTTGGGATGAAACCTGGCCTTAGAGGTAGAAGCTGGTCACTCCAAGCCCTGCTTCTCACTGCCCTGGCTTCCCAGTGTCACTGCCAGGAGACAGCTCCGTGAAAGAGACAAAGCTTGAAGCCACTAGCACCAGCATAGCTGGGTGAGTGTGGGTCGCTGAGCCCTGGACCCAGGGATCTGCTGCTGCAGCCCATGGTGGGCCTGGCTGTGGTTGGTGCCTGGGCTTTGATTTGGGCTCCTCTACCCAGCGACCTCAAACCTCACCCATCAGGCGCTGGGCCCCAGACTCACCTTGGACCTGATGTTTCTGAGTTGCCGGGAGACGCAGGATCTGTCTTTCTTCAAGAAGTCAGGGTTGCTTTTAGATTTCATTATATCTGAAGGAAAAAACGACCCATTATCTTTATTTTCTAAACCCTTCTGGAATCATACTAAATGCTTAAATATTTTCTTAGCGCCTTACTGCAGAACATTGAGGACATTTCCTTAAACAACTCTAAGGGAATTCAAAGTCAATAACCAGAATATATGCTAGATCTTTCCAGAACACCACAAAATACCAGGACAATGGGAGAATGTGTGTGTGGGCCCTGCCAGGGTTTCCAGCACCTTGATTGCAGACCATAGACCGAAGCCATGCTCCCTCAGTGAGGGTGCTGGTCTCACTCCTGCACCGGACTTAAACTGCTAAGTAGATCAACTGTCCCCATTACTTATTTATTCCCAGCCTTCCTCCTTGTAACAGGACTGTTATAAAACAAGATAACAAGGCGAGGTTCTTCTCATAATCTACTCCCAACAAGACTCCTGTCCTTTAGGCTTCTTAAAAATATCTGAATAGGCAAGGTGCACTGGCTCATGCCTGCAGTCCCAGCAGTTTGGGAGGCTGAGGTGGGAGAATCGTTTGATCGCAGGAGTTGGAGACCAGCCTGGGCAACATAGTGAGACCTTATCTCTAAAAAAATTGGCTGGGCATAATGGTGCATGCCTGTAGTCCCAGCTACGTGGGAAGCTGAGATGGAAGAATCGCCTGAACCCAGGAGGGTGAGGTTGCAGTGAGCTGGGATCATATCACTGCACTCCAGCCTAGGTGACAGAGCTAGACCTTGGCTCAAAAAAAAAAAAAAGGCAATTTTTTTTTCTTTAGGTTGGAGCTGGAACTACAGGTATGCAACACCACACCCAGCTAACTTTTTAAAAAAAATTTATTGTGGAGATGAGGTCTCGCCATGTTGCCCGGACTGGTCTCAAACCCGCAGGCTCAGGCAATCCTCTCACCTCGGCCTCCCAAAGTGCTGAGATTGTAGGCGTGAGCCACCACACCCAGCCTAAATACTTTAAATACCTATAAAACAAACAAACAAAAATATATTGGGTTGTATCATATATCCTGTGCATGTGGGGGTTTTTTTGGTTTGTTTAGTTTACTATTCTGTCTTTCTCTATACATACACATTTACATATATGTTTTTAATAGACAAGGTTTCTCTGTTGCCCAGACTAGAGTGCAGTGCCTATACACAGGTCAGTACAGGAGCTTTGATCTGCTGTTTTCACCTGGGTCAGTTCGCTCTTCCTTAGGCAACTTGGTGGTCCCCACCTCCTGAGAGGTCATTATATTGATGTCAAATTTAGTGTGAATACCTGATCAGTATAGTGCACTATAGTCCAGAACTCCTGGGCTCAAGCAATCCTCCTGCCTCAGTCACCCATGTAGCTGGGACTATAGGTGTATGCCGCTGCACCTGGCTACTCAATATATTTATGGATCTCTTTCCATGTCAAAACAAAATCTACCTGACCTCTTTTAAGAACTGCAGAGTATTCCACTGTGTAGCTATGCCAGTTTAAACAATCCTCTATTTGATGTCTTAAGGTGGAATGTAGTTTTATACACAAATGCACAATAACTTTGCACATTTCTACACACTTACTTGGTTTTAGATTTTGCTACATATTGCCTGAGTGCCTTCCAGAAAGGCTAGTAATTTATGCTCCCATCAACAACACAAATGATTTTTTTCTCCCAGTATGTGTCAGTACTGCCATAACCACTATTCCTTGCCTAGCTGAAAGAAAGTGGAATTTTTTGGTTATCACTGAGCTAGTATGTCTTTTCCTATGCTTGTGGGGTTTTTTGGGGGTTTTTTTCGAGTTGCAGTCTTACTCCATTGCCCAGGCTGGAGTGTAGTGGCACACTCATGGCTACCCCAGCATTGACCTGCTGGGCTCCAGTGTTCCTTCCGCCTCAGCCTTCCAAGTAGCTAGAACTATAGGTGTGCACTATAATGTACGGCTAATTTTTGATTTATTTAGAAATGAGGTCTCACCAAGTTGCCCAGGCTGCTCTCAAACCCGCAGGCTCAGGCAATCTACTTGCCTCGGCCTCCCAAAGTGCTGGGATTGCAGGCTGAGCCACAGAGCCCTGCTGCGGGTCTTTTTTTTTTTTGAGTTGGAGTCTCACTCTGTCACCCAGACTGGAGTGCAGTGG